CACTATCAATTGGTAAATGACTTTAGGCCGCCGATTGAGATTCAAGTTTTTATTTATAACTTACTTATAAACTGGAAAGATATTATCATCTAAAATATGCATGATCACATTGTGCATAAGGAAATATTCGAATATTCGTTTAACATCATATCTACAGATCTACTGATTCCATCCATTCAAAGCAAGTTTCAACTTTGGCTAAGTCTGGACAGAATGATGGTATTGTTTTGTGTGCAACAGGTCGTATGCAGCCATTCGAGTGGCCGGTCGAAATAGGATAAAAGGAACGAGCATCTCTGCTTTAGGGGAGGGTAACTTTTATTGGAAGTCACTAGTTTTGTGCAGAGCCATTTCTTCGTGTACCAAAACCTGCAAACGATCTGTCTGCTTTGGGACAACTGGTGATGGACAACGCTGACGGTTTGCCTGTATGTCCTCATTCGGCAAAAGTGGTTGTTCTTACACCGATTTAGCCCAACCAGCACAATGCCCCCTTGCTGCCTCCGGTATGGCTTCAAAGCATCCCCGAAAGTGGTTCACTGTTTGCGTCTCGGAGACGAAATGTACACTCTCGCGAATGTTCTGCCTACCTGTTCGATTTTACTACTTGCCGACTATTCATCTCACACTCCAGGCCGCCTGAATATGGCCCATTTTCACACTGCCGTCCTCTGGGCTGCTGTATTCCAGCCTGGCCCGAATCTGCCAGAGGTTTTTACTACTTTCCCCCCAGAAAAGTTGGATGCCACCTCGAGCCGTAATGAACCGATTTGGTGACGAGGCAGCCTTCTTTAACGGGAAGAGGCAAATTGACGAGGCGAATACGCCCCCATATTCACAATGGCCGTGATAGACGGAGTCGCATCTGCCGATTCGTTTGACTCTGCTCGAGGTGTCGCCATCCGAGGTACCCCCGGAGAGGCGTTTCTGACTTGCTTCCGCTTCCCGACCGGGCGAGAGTGGCTCGACTCCAGGCCTCGTTGCTGGGTCCAGGCTCAAAGGGCAGTCGCGTCGGCACGGCCAGACTCGGCCACTTGACCCGTCCTGAAGACGATTCGGTCGCTAGGCGACTGTACATTGTCACTTTGCAGTGATGGGCACTTGTAATGAGCGGAGAGTTCCAGGCTCACATGCTTCTGCGGAAGTGTACTGTGTGCGTGTGCACATATCCGTTAGGAGGCCCATGTGAATTCCGGAACCGGGGAAAGTGACTAAGCCTCAGCAAGGGGTGCATGACAGGACTAAGTGAGTTGTGGAGGTGAAGCTCCGGCCAATAGGACCGAGGAAGATGTGTCCCGGTACCAACATTTCTGTTAACTGTGCATCTGATTTGTCTGTTAGTATACGTTCTTCGGAGTCCAAGGCATAGGCCCCTGCGTCTCGGAGCTTTTCTTCCTCCGGCCAAACTGGAACGATATAACGAATGACCGGGTGACCGTTTGCCCGGTCACATGGGCATGACTGGGAGTGTGTTTGTGTGCCATGTCGTTTGTGTCACTGTGTGTCTGGGTTTGTTAATGGGATTTAGGCACCATGACATGCATGTCTGAGAAATGTTGGCCGACTTGGAGTAGGCTACAATTGTCGGGCTCGCTAATTAAGAGATGTCTTTGGACACAACTTTTATTTGCGCTTGGACTTGCGATTCTCTCAATTGCTCTCGACACTTCCGTCTTCATTCTTATTCTTCATTTGGTTTTCCGCTCTCACCCAATTACTGCTCTCTCTTCACACACCCTTCTCCTCGCTAGTTAACCCCTCTATCCACCCTCATATCTGTCTAGACCCTTCTACTTATCACTTGCCTTGCCAGAAATATTGTAGACAGTCAAGAAATTATTTATCAAGCACTAAGGCTTAACAATTTTCTCTTACTCCATTTTTCCTTCATGCTTTCATTTGGCTTTAACTTGTCTCTTTGATAGGAAATGTTATACGGTGGCTTAGCCACCCTTTCACCAGCTCACATGTCTAACCCTCCTTCTTCTTCTCTACATTTTTGTCATGTGGTCCATTTCCGGCTTCACGAAGATTCCCCTTCCTCCGGCGATACGAATAGTATCCGCTTCAGCAGTCAACTTTAGGATACATCAAAGATCCGTCTCACAGAATTAGGGCGTCTTATGTTGGGTAGTGAAGAGCATAAGGATAGAGGAGGGTTTGTGAACATTGCGAAACTTTCAGTCAGGCAACGTTTTGGCACGCGTGTTACCTCGAGACGATGCTATAAAATGGAAAGTTCTTTAACCATGTTCTAGCCAATATTACTCACCTCCTTTGATACTCTCGTTAATGACGATCATTCGGATATAGAGGATGGATCCATGCTCAATAAAATCTTATGAATGCGGTTAAAAAAGCTGAATATATGAAATGTATTAACTTTATTTTGTTTAAGGTGACATGGAAACTGGTATTTATATTTTCCAACAATGCTAAGAGTTGACCTTGTGTTTCAGATAGCCTTAGTTTCCCAAAAGGTATTCTCAATTTTGCTAGAGTGCACTAAAGTCTAGACCGCGTCTATGTCTTATCAGCACCCCTAGCGGGACTCAAACCATGACTGAGCAGCGTATTTTCTCGGCACGTCGACACTACGCCACACTGCTATGACTGCCTTTAGATCACACATAAAGTGGGAATTTCAAGGAAGGCCAGACCATTCCCATATCACATTTTTGCAGTGAGATTATCGATGAAGGAAAGTAGTAATGATAATCTCGAGAACCTACTTAAAACGAAAAACAAGAAACCATACATTACAAGAGACGGTACCAATCTAAAAGTCGGCCAGAGCAAAGGTTACTTCTTATAGCTAATAGAGCGATCTTAAAGAGGCATCTCCTGATCCGCCGAAAAGCCTGAAAAAACTTGGTTAAAAAGAGAATTGTTTGTAAATTTCGATGGTACCACAAATCTGGACTCACTGGTAATATGTCCAATACAATATGCATTATCAAATGGGCCAAAGAATTAAATGTCTAGGGCTACAAACACTTTATATCCGAGTGTAAGATTATGCAATAGAGAGAAAGTAACCACAAAACAAGCATCATGAATAGGAGTAACGAGTGTAGGAAATTGAGTGTGAACAAGTTATGGCTGTTGGATAGGCTTGGGGAGAGAAAAAGAGAAGAAAAAGAGGGAACCTTTGATCAAGAAGAGGTCACAATATACAGAATTTCTGCACAATGATATGAGTTGAGCTGACGTTTCCATTGCATTTCACATAGCATTGCAACAGAGGACTGCAGTTTCGACCTGTACTGTCGCGGTTCGACTCCCGCTGAGGGTGTTGATAGGACCGATGCGAGGTCGAAACTGCGGTTCACTGGTG